AAACATCCATTATCCGTGAATCGAGCACGGGTCGCGTGAAATTCCATCTCGCATTGTACCACTGAGCCATTAGCCACCTTTGACACTCAACTCCCGTCTCCCGCATTCGATTGTGGCGAAATTTTGGCGGTTCACTTTTCCGTTCCGGTTGGGTGAATAGATGCGGGAATCCTCATGGTGGTTTCAAACTTGCCCTCCCGCCCGGATATTCACGGACGATTGCCAACCGCCGTTCCGCGCTTTGCTACTTTTTCTGGTGCACAAACAAACGCGAGAACACCCGGCTACTCAAGGCTACTTCGTACTCGCAAGCCCAGAAAAAAGCTGCTCTGCTGTCGTATTACAAGATCTTGCCTGGAGCGCTTGCGAAGATAGATATTCACAACACAATAACAACATGATATCCACGTGCACGCGCACGCGCTGTTGTCTCGTTGGGCACAGAAAAACAGAGCTGAAAAAGAAGCACAGCTAGAACTGCTGCGTGTACATACGGCGGTTTCTTATGACGTTCGGAAATGCGGTTCAAATATGTGCATTTCCCAATTCAGACCAAAAACTGTTTCTTATAAGTTCACTTTTCCGCCTGAACATTTTCGATTTCACGTTTCCAACCGGTCATGCGTTTGGAAATTCTGACAATTTCCGATCGGATGGCGCGATTGACTTTTGCGTTTGGAAATGCACACCACGCGGACACAACCATCGATTGCGCAGCAAGTACTGGTCGTAGCGAGCTCATCAAGGGCTCCGAGCAATCCTCGGAGCACTGTGCTGCTATCCCAGCCGTTTTTATGTGGTTGCCTTGTGTCCAGTTGCGCTCAAAGCAAAATGTTGGCCAACTGACACACACACCGCTTGCCCAGACCCTCAAAGAGACGCGGCATCATCCCAACAACCCTGACACACACAAACATCGATGGACGATATACATATTCATTTTCTCGCTCGCTAGATCACCCCTGCAGCTGAAACTTGAGCAGATGGGAGCTCCATCAACTTCTCTCTGTCGGGGGTCTGTGTCATCGCTGTTGGTTCGGTCAATGGAGAGGGATATCGACAGCGCCACCGGTGACACGGCGAGAACCCTGTACAGCAGTGAGCGGCATGATGATGATGATGTCATTTTTCGAACAACACAGCAGTCAGACGATCTTCGCCAACTTCGTTGCTCAGCCTCCCAACGCGTCATGGTCTCTGAAAACCACATCACAAGAAGCACCATACACACAGCTACGGGCGGATGGCCTTGTGATATCTGCTGGTTCGGTTAGTGAAGAGGGGTCGCCACGAGACCAAAGCTGTGATGGAGTAAAAAGATGTCGCAAGCTGTTTGTTCGAGCGGAGGTCTTGTTCGAACAGCAGTTGCCCCTCTCGCTAACTTCCTCACCCACCCCGCGCCTCACGGTCTGTAGCAACCACCCCACATGAGGCACCATACGCACAGCTACAGTCGGATGACTATACTTTTGCTGTTGTGTCGTTCAGTGCACAGAGATTGCCGACAAACCAAACCGACCGGATGATGAGGTGGTACGGGGGTGGCAAATCGAAAAACACAAACGGCCGCATTCCTAGACAGCAGTGCAAAAGAGAAAACGACTGCACTATAAGAAGCGTCTTGACCGACACGCTGCGGTTTTTTCCGAACGGGAAATTACACAATTTTGAACAGGATTTCCGAACTTTGTAAGAAACCGTTTAAGCAAAGCAAGCTGTTGTGGCAAAGGGTTGAGTCAGAGGGCACACAGCTTTGGATTTTTCACTCGACAGACCACCTTTCGAGCTGAAGACTACTGGAACATGGCATCCTACCACTGCTCTCTTATGCATTGAGCGTAGGGGCAGTGGTGTGCTGATAAAACGACAAGGGGCAGAAGCAGCAGCAGCAGCGGCAAAAGAAAGCGAAGTTCGGCTCGCTCTCTTCCCTTGTCTTCCCCGATGTTTTTTTCGACTTCGAGCTACGTACATGCCTAGCAACACCGCACAATGGCCCAGAGTGAAGACCACGCTGCGCCCAGTTGATCGAATTCGTACACGCATGCCCACGCTTCACCGAATAATGAAATGGAGTGATTAAAGATATGCACACTTCACGGATTCGAGCTTGAACGGTGTTCTGGCAAGTGCATTTCAGGTATGTAGGTGTGTGTGTATTTCAGGTCTTGCAATAAAGGTGATTGATGCCGCAGATGCATGCATCTTGCGCCTCAGCGCGCTAGGTGTGCACCCGAAGCGCCCGCACATTCACATAGTACAGCATAGTCCCTGTCGTGCGGCTGGTGATATCGGCTTTATGCTCGTGTTGCGTTCCCTGAGACTTGGTGTGGCAAACAGAGGGTGGGTTGTTGTTGTCGTTGTGTGCAAAAAAAAACCCGACGTGGTTGCTTCCTGTCTGCGACCGAAACTTTTACCGTGGGAATTTCTGATATAGGGCAAAAGAAGCACCATATGAAAACACGCGGGAAGTGACTCTTTATACGAAAACAGATGCCAGAACGATGGGATTCCGGCGTCTTAAAACGAACAGCCCGCCACCGCTTTAAAACTCAGAAGGCGGGAATTCCTGCATATTTCTGGATTTTCACGTGCTAACCCGCGTGCGGGAAGCGGGAATCCGAGTTTGAACGATGTCATATGATGCCACTGATGGACGTGACCGGGCATTGGGTCCTTCTATTTAGTCCACAGTCGAAGTTTAATATGTTCCAGTACATTCTTCCAACGCGTAACGCATGCAGTACCTGGCTAAAAGTGTTGTCATTCCGTTTTATTCTGAAGATACGATATAGGAGGAGGCGGAAACAGCTACAGTATGAACACCCCATGCCAACCAACTAGAAGTACAGTAGAGGTCCCTGTTTTGTGCCATTTGAATAGTGCCGGTGCTTTCGACGGGCACACACTGATTACACACGTTTTCCAAGTGTACTCTCAATACTTTGAGTAGTGCCGGGGTCCGGTATAGTGCCGGTGAGTTTCTGGGCACATGCCGGAACGGCCCTAAACAGGGACCTCTACTGCATTTTGAGTTGCTCTCGAGCACAGACGGAGGGTGAATTCAACGCAAGTGGTGGACGCCGTTAGCTCGTAGCGGGTTGTTGTTGAACCGTTGTTGAACGGTTGCTGTACTGATGCTGTCCGGAGCGTCACACTCGCAGCATACATACTGCGTGTATTCACAGGCTATTTGGCACATGTTTTAAATGCGACAAAACAAAAACAAAGCTCTTTACAAGAGTATTACGGAAACGTATGTTCCCTGCCGGCTGGAACAGAACAAGCCTTCATGCTATTCAGACGCATGGCATGCATCCCTCACACCACTCACACCTTTCGACACCAGAGTATGATGCAAGATATTGGGGCGGCAGCTACCGAGAAAGCAACGAGGGGTGTATGAGCGCACGGCAGGGCCGAATGCCGCGGAGGGTTCTTTAGCTGTGTTTTGGCGAGGTACGCAAGGACGTCTGGCTGACGTTCGTGAGCAATCAACGCTTCCGATCTCCACGCTACCCCTATATTCCCCATTATTCATCCACAACGCCGTTTGGGCTGAATGCCCTCCCTGTATCCGGGGACTGGGGAAACCTCAGAGGAGCTGAGGGAGGGAGTAACCTTGATGATAATCATTTTTGGTGGAGTACCCCCTTGAATGAATTTCCCCTCGCCATTTTCGAACGCCCCATTCCAAATTGCGTGTGCCCTTATATGTAAGCAAGGCAAGCCCGGTATGGAATACATGTAAGGCATGGAAGACATGGAACGGCATAGGAGGCAACTGCTTCCTTTTCTCGACATCGTTCTTGTTGCCTGCGGTGGGCCTTGGAGTCCAAGATTTGCACTGTTAGGGGTGTCAAAGCGGAAAATTTCCTATTGGAAAAAAATTGAAAAAGCGTCCTCGGATGTTGCTGATGGAAAATCGACGAACAAATGAAATTTCACGGAACCGTGGGAACCTCCCGAAAAGACCCTCTGACGCACACGCGCGAGGGCGCCGCTGGTGTGTGTGCTCTGATTATTCAACGGTTTCTCTCTTCCGCCTGGCGCTGTCCCGCCACCGCCGACTCCTTCTCTCGCCCAATGGCTTGTTTCTCCTGCTCGGCCTGCTGTCTCCGTGCCCGCTCCGACTCGCGCGCAAACTCCAGAGCCATGCTGCAACCAGCTTTGCTCTCTTCCTCACTTTTCCTGCTTTCGGCCAGCTCCTCCTTCGTTCTTTCCAGTGCTTTCTGCGCGGCGGTGATGCTGCCGCGCTCGATAAAGCGCCGGGTGTTGTCTGCTGCTGACGCCGCAGCCACAGACTTCTCCAACCTCTCTTCAAACGTCGCTTTGCCGCCACCGAACGTCGTGGACCTCGTTTTTTTTTTGTGGGAGGGTCCGCGGTGGGCGCCGCAGACCCGCTTGAAGGGCCGTTTTCGGACATGCAGATCTCGGGGTTGGCTGACGCGATTCGGGCGCGGTCCGTTGTGCTGTATAGGTGTAAACTCAAGGTAGAGGACCGCAAGCTCTCTTTCACGAGAGGAGCAAAGGTCGCCTCGGGCGTGGGTAAAACAGCTGAAATAACCCTGTTCTTCTGTGTTGTTCGTCCGCCCTTCAAACTTGAGTAAAAACCGAGCTTGCGGTCACCTCTATTGGACCTGTGTCCAGGTGTGTGTAACGTATGAAGAGCCATGCTGCAGTCTGGACGCAGAGCTACCTGCACAAACAAACTGACTTGATGTATAGTTTATTCAGTATTAACAGCGGGATCCTCATCAACCAAAAAAAAAAGAAATCCGCGTGCCCCCCTCAAATTTTGACGAATGGACCGTACGTTTTTTTGGCCCCAAATTCCGCCGCTTTGACACCCCTAATTGTTTATGTTGTATGGATTCTGTCTTACCCTCGTTGCCTTGGTCGACGCTCTTGTTTTTCGTGTGGCACACGAGAGTGGAAACAGTGGTGGTATGGACTCACCCATGTGCCTTTGTCCCTTTCGTACGTCGTGCGTGGTGTGGCAGCGGTTGGACAAGCTTGTCCAGATGTGCGGTAGCGTTGACGGTGTTTATCTGGCCCTCATCGGAGACGGTGCGATGGGGCCTGCGCTGTCAGAGCGCCACGGCTGCTGGTCCAACAGCGGCAAGAGGCGAACTAAGGTACAGTGAACGCAACCCACCGGTATGCCTTGGCGCAAGGCTCAGGTATTAACCTAGTACCAAGATCATGAGCACTGCCCAAAAGACATATATGAGGTGTTGTGGCACTGAACCAGTGTGTTTTTCGACGTGTCGAAGCACATCTCGAGGTGCGTTGGTGTCAAAACCCGCTTGCCTTGAAACGGCTTTTTGGGCAGAGCCCTTTCGATGGGAACACACACGCGAATTGTGGCTTTCTGTCTGACAATAAAAAAAGGTTGGTATCCCCGGAAAACTCACGTAGGCATGTTGACGCAAAATTAGTAATTGGTGCAGACCAAGAATGAGGGAAGACTGTGCGTCCATCCGTCCGCCCGTGATCGCTCTGTGCCAAGAGACTGGAGTCCATTTCCCCAACTTGACATCAAATTACAATCGTAAGTGTGCCCCAAATTTAGTATTTCCCCGTGCTGTCACAACCCCCTCCCGCTCAATCCGTGCTCAGAGCATCGAGATTTTAGCGCATGTTTCCTGAACTTGGTTGTCGGCAAGCATACATCCCCACATAGAGAGGCATGTTTTTAGAATCAACAGGAAGAGGCTGCTGCTGGTAGGTACTAAGGTTGCGAGGTGGGTGTGACGGAGAGAGAGACAGATGTAGACGAGGGGGACGGGAGGCACGGGGGAGAAACGGGAAGGTGTGGCCTGTACCGCTGCTGTTAGCTGACAGCGGAAGCGAGGGGAGAAACAGGAGCGGGCGGGGGGGGGGGGGGG